TGTAAACAGCTTCATGTTTATCAGAATGTTATTTGGATGTTTTACTTCGACAACTCAAATAGACGGCATTGTAATCATGTCAGTCACAAGTCGGTCACAAGTCATTCAGTCCTAGGTCAACTCACAAGCTATTCTACAAATGAACTGTGACATACATGTTTATGCCAGCATTCTTTTGTCATTACTCATCTCTTCAGGACTGACCTGATTTGTGAAATGTCTTGAGAACTGACTTATGGACGTATGACAAACTTGATTCCAACTCTGCTAAAGACAATGCTCAAGCAGTTAAAACTGGCAAAGGTATTGGTCATTAGAATTTATTGGTTCAATGTGTTGCATCATGTATGGTAGATATGCAGCTACAATCAGCTGAATCAGAACATGATTTGGACATTGAATTTGAACAACTTTTGATTTGAAATCAAAATCCAACAAAAAACCTTTTTGAATACACAGCATTCAATGTGCTCACATTTCAATTGAAACTGTTGTAAAACATGAATCCCTTACATTCTGAGCACTTTTTCTACATAAAACAACATAATACAAAATGCACAAATGGCATACATGTACATGTGTTTGGAGCCATTTTGTTTTAATGTGATGCCAATTTCAATATTCAGGAGCAAAACTGTGATATCAGTTAAGAAAACCCCAATGTGGCAAAGATTTGTGCACAAAAACTGCTGGAAGCTTTGATATTTTCCTAATCTAATTTTCTTTCGCGGAGATAGTTCACAAAGTTTTGTTTTGTACAAAGAAAGTAGTAATGAGCCATTAAGCAATCCTTCCTCAGAAATAGTTTTAATGCCAAAATGTTGGATTCATAATTTGAACTGAAAAATATGAACATGCAGTTTATTCCCTGGATGATATCACAGCTTACCAAGAGCAACCTCTGTTGTCCGGAAATATTAGGGACAATTTTAACTGTTAAAAAACTTAGTACAATAGCAAAAAAAGTGGGTTTCACAAATCTAAGAGTACAAAGTTGCATGAAAAAAGCATTTAAGAAAATTTATTGCCTAGACCCAGGTTATTGTGGACCATCTCACAGCCCGTGGGTGGAGAGTATGGAAGTTGGTCACGCTACCACCCTATTTTTCAAAACTCAGACCCCCTGAACTTTTTTGTACTTGGCCTAAGGCTAAGCCCAATGATATTTACATGTACATGTATTTGGACAAGTTGGAAATTGGAGTGATACATCATCAACTAACTTGTTGATTACTTTCAGCACGGCAGATCACTAAGTATCAATACTTCTTGATTATCTTGAATTATGTCACGTCTCTTGATCTCTTGATAAATAGTCACTGATCAGCTCCTACTGAAGCAACACTCAGCAAAGAAAGGTGGACAGCTATTCATGAGCATTACATTGGAAGTTCCTGAGGGCTTCGGCAAATTTTTAGTGTCACTGGTTTCTGTGATGTGCTAGGGAAGATTATTCCAATCCTGTGCAGTTTGGATTAAAAAAAATGCTTACAGGTTTGGGTGCTGGTGAACGGTATCTGGAAAAATTTAGGTTTAGAATTTCTTGCACAGATGACTGGTTGTTTAAATAAAACTTCAGAGGGTAATGTGACATCGATTTTATTATAAATAATCTTGTGCATGTTGACTAGTCACTAGGTGTATCTGCGGTCCTCTAAGGTGGGGAGTTGCAGAGCCGTGACTGATGTTTTATTATTCCAGTTGTAATTATTACCGATGAACCAGACTGCTCTACATTGAAGCATCTTGATCTTGTGTCTGTTGTTGGCAGTGTAGGGGTCCCAAACTGAGTAGTGCAATACTCCAAATGTGGTCAAACTAAGCTCTGATAAGCTCCAAGTTTCACCTTTTGTGGACCAGAACCCAAATTTCGTCTCAAAAACCCAAGCAAGCTACTGGCCCCAGAAGTGACTGCCTTCACATGGAAATTCCATTTAATGTCGCTAGACAGATGCACACTAATTCAAGAACTCAAAGTCACTACTCTGTCACGGAGTATGACGAAGTGACTTTGAGTTCTCGAAGTTGATGCACACCTAGAAATTTATGATGTTTCACTGATTTAAGACTGTGGCCTCCTAGAGGGAATGGATATTCTATATTAGATTTTTCTTATATTTGAAATGAAGAACATTACATTTTTCGGGTTTGAAATGGATCTAACAGAGCACTGCTCCCATTTCTCGAGTGTCCTAACAATAACCATGTGATTCTACCTCCATGCAATAACATTGCCTAAGATGTTGCCTCACAATCTGCCGTTGTCAGTTTTAGTTGGCGATAGATGACACAAGCGTCAGCAAATGCAGCTGATGTTTGATGAAAGGCCTTGTACAATATCATTAATGTAAATCAAAATCAGAAGGGGGGCTGAGACCACGAGGACCGCGCCTTGCCATGTTTGAAGCAAGCACCCCCGATGAGACAAGGACTGGAAGGCTAGGGGTAGTGCTCGTGAACTACATAGGTGCTCTCACCAACCATGGAGGAAGGCACCAACTGGAATTAAAAACTGGTAATTAAAGGAAAAGTGACTACACACCGCAGAATCTGCCTTGAAGAACTTGAAATAACGCTCTTTGACACGATTTTAAAGCCATTCTGGACGATCAATCGTTTGAGTTGTAGGACAACTCAGTCGCGTCGAGCGAGCTGGCTGGAGTTGAGTACGGTACCAGATATCAGATCGACCCTGGCCGGCCGACCAGCGTGCAGCAAGCAAGCTCTCTGAAGTCAAAACGCGTCGAGTACTGATTATGGTGATCAGTGGTCGAGTACGCACGCGCTATATCTCAGGTCCTTTTCAATGTTTACGGCCAACGAGACTGGTACCCGTCAACCCGGCGAAGCGCAGTGTACATTGCACATGTACCGAATGTCATGTACCCATAGGCCATGTGCTATGTAGCAGAGAGGTCACGTTTCCATGCTAGCAGCGCATCCTGCATGTTTACCCACGTATGGTTTGCAGGCCCTGGCAGAATGATTGATTGGATCAAATTCCGATTAGTATGGAATGCCGCGGACTTCTTCATGTTTTGTAGACTGATCTATTTATATGCGTTGACCTCTTCTTGATGTTTTCCTTGGGCATATTTATGCTAGTCTGGTACATTCTGTCATGCCTGTACAGCCGGGGAATTTACAGCAGAGTTTACAGAGAAAAATACACAAGTCACGGTTGCCGACGGGTGCGTATTTGGACGTCAGCAAGCGACCAGTATCACTGAGTTATCATTAAGTAAACATTGGGTAACTGATTTCGAGAACACATGGCTGACTTCGAATCATCTACTACGGGACGCGCTAGACATGAAGCTGAAGGAGTTTGGACCAAATTTAGCCTCGTCTTGGGGATAGGCACTGTTGGTCTGCTTTTTTTCAGACGCTACTTCCATGGGGCCAAATGTCGAAGCCTTGCCCAGCTCAGTGGCAAAACCGTCATTGTCACAGGTGCTAACACAGGAATTGGGAAAGCCACAGCTCTCGACCTGGCCCGTCGACATGCTCGGGTGATCCTTGCTTGCAGGGACATTCAAAAGGCAACGAAGGGTGCAGAGGACATACGGCGTTCCACACGCTCTGAGCAGCTTGTAGTCAAGCATCTGGATCTCGCCTCCCTAATATCCATCAGGGAGTTTTGTAATGACATCCTGGAGACGGAGCCACGCCTGGACATCCTCATCAACAACGCGGGCGTGTCCTGGCTGCCAAAGTTCACCAAGACGGAGGACGGGCTGGAGATGCAAATGGGAGTGAACCACTTCGGACACTTCCTCCTGACGAACCGTCTCTTGGGACTCCTCAAGAAGTCCTCCCCAGGTGCCCGCATCGTCATAGTGTCCTCAGCTCTCTACAAGAAGGGCAAGATTGACTTTTCCAACCTCAACTCAGAGAAAAGCTACAACCGGTTCCAAGCCTACTACGACAGCAAACTTTCCAATGTGCTCTTCGGACAAGAGTTGCACCGTCGCTTGGAGGCAGAGAGAGCGGGCGTGTCCGTGTACACCCTGCATCCGGGCGTCGTCAACTCAGAACTGAACAGACACACCATGCATCCGTTTCTTTTAAAGTTCTTTCTACGACCCCTCTTCTGGCTCTTTATGAAGACCCCTACCCAGGGAGCTCAGACAACCATTTACTGTGCTGTGGCAGGCGAGCTGGAGGGACTGAGCGGCCTTTACTATGGTAACTGTAAAGAGCATCCATTTCCTCCAGTGGCCTCACTTGCTGATGAAAACATTGCCAAGAAACTGTGGGAAGCTAGTGAACGGCTTACAGGTCTTAAGGATGACTAAAATCACTAAAAACTGACACTGATTCGATTTGTTTTGTTTTTAGTTTAAGGGCATCTGATGCAAGAACATTAACATAAACTGCAGCTGTAGACTGTAGTGAGGACTTTCATCCAAAGTTTTTAGATTGTCATTATTTTGAAGCAGAACAACCTCTTAAAGTATATCAAGATATACCTGATTCATAAAGTAACAGTTTTTCAGCTATTCTTTTGTCATTTGTCCAAAGCCAGTTTCATTGCCATATTAATATGGCAAATTAATGAATATTTAATGATCATTTAGCATTCGTTTCTAAAACCGTTGTCCTTTTTTCAGTGATTCATTTTGAAATTCTAATAAATGTGTTAAAGTTGGCTTGAATTGTTTTAGCTTCCACTTTTGCATGTCAAATTTATGGAAGCGTTAGATGGAGCCTGCATACACAGCTAAAGAACAAAATTAGTCATTTTGTTATTATTTAGTAATAAAAAATAATAACAATTATGTTGTGTGAAAATCCTTTGGTGTTAGCTGTAGTTATTTTGTCTAAACACTATTTGAGGTTGCTAAATATCTAGGTCATATCTCTATCGGCCTTCTCAAATTGCAATAGTTAATCTTAAGCCTTCTTATTTAATTAAAGCAAAAGAGGGCAATGAGCCTCCCCACTCCTTCCCTATAGTGGTAGCCTCACATGAATGTGTGCAGAACTCCGCATAGCTGATATTCGGTCTACTGACCATGATTGTCCCTTTGTAAAAATATGCAGACGACATCGCTCTCATTGGTCGTATAATATCAACTGAATCTGCTTGCCCTGAAGAAGGTACTCAATTAACGAAAGCTCGGCAATCACATATTTCAGAGCACTGATTTTTGATATCATATTCTTGTCGATATTCTGATTACGGTGCTACACAGCCCTTCCATACTGCTTTCATTGGTCTTATCCGGTTCGTAAGTAACTACTTCGTGCTAAGCAGACGCGCCACGATTTGCAGGCTTCTATTGGAAAATCATTGAACTTAAGTTGCGCGTTAACTTCCGGTTCCATAGTTCATGTAAACGGCGATCAGTGCATGTAACTCTCTTTGTGCAGTGCATGTGCAGTTAGCCTGGTTTAAACCAAAGATTATATGGCGGCGCTATACAATCTTTGGTTTAAACTGAAGTGACATCACACGAACCGGGTACAGAATGATGACGAGTCTGCCTACTTGGATCAAATAAGCCAGCTTTAAATATGCTGTAAACTAAATTTTCTGGAATTGAATTTGTCCAAGATGAGAGAAATGTTGGTTGACTTCCGTAAGGCTCATGAACTTGTGGTACCGGATCCTGTATTTATTGACGCAGGTGAAATTGCACGTGTTACTGAACATAAGTGGGGCTTATGTTCGATGAAAGGTTAGATTGGAGTAGTCATGTGAATCACGCAGAGAAAAGATGGAACTCAAGGATGTACTGCCTGAGGAAACTGAATTCGTTTGATGTGAGGAGGGGAAGCAAACTGATATTGTACCATTCAGTTATTTGTAGTGTGTGGACCTACTGTCGGGTATGCTGGGCTGAAACTTAAAATATTGATAAGAAAGTAAACTCAGAGAAGCTAATTGACGATTCCACTAGACTAGCTAGTAAAATAGTCAATAAATATCTGTAGTAGACAATGTCTACAGTCAACAGTTCAGTGACAAATAACACCCCGGCGTTTAATGGAATTTAATTCCACTCAGTGGAAGAAGGAGACCAGTAGTCACACACGCAAATCGATATACTGTACAGTATCCTTCATTTTTCTTGAGTCGGGCTATTCAAGGTCATAATGAGGTTGTCAACAGGTAATTTCTATTTCTGCCGTCTTCAAAAGGGGATGGGAGTGGAACTCACCTCAATCATTGTCTTCAAACATGATTTGGTTTTGATTTTAGTTTTGGGTTTGGGGAAGGTAAGTTTTCCAGAGTTTTTAAAGAAATTTTACATTTGGTGTAAAGTACTTGTGTTTTTGTTTTATAGAATTTTATGCATTTGTTCTCTGCCTACCTGTGTACTGATATGTAATTTTTAATATTTATACATTTTGAGAGAGAGACGACAATATGTAACCTAATTTCCTCTTTTTTTTAGATTGAATAAAGTTTATCTATCTATCTAGAACAAGGTATTTGATTGGGCGCGATCCCTCGCCTCTCTTCGCGCGATCAGTCAATCTTTGGCACGATTTGTCGATAGTTCCACAGTCATCCAATTCTCTTTATCTGTCTGATTCAAAGCTGTAAACAACTGTTTGTTAAAAGGGGGTTAAGCTGGAGATTTCGATGAGGACCCGAGCGATCGCACAGAGCGATCGTGGCGATCGATCGATCACGCCCGACGCACGCAGGCAACGCGATGCTTCCGCGCGGATACATTGTTGTCGTTGGTGGCGCAACGCTGCAAAATAAAATTCAGAGGACGAGTAGTACAGTGCAGTGAAAGTAAAGAGTCGAGAAGCAAGCGGAAAACCGCGGTCCGGCGGCATCCGCATCACACCCAGCGCCGCGGTTAGTACGTTGTGTGTAAAACCGGGTGAGTGTTAAAACTGTTTGTGTGAAGTAATTTTGTGTAGTTGGTGTACCTTTTCTTGGATCCTTGATCTTTAAAAGGCTTCTGATACCATGAACATACTTTTCTCATGGTGTGAAAGGATTAGCCTAAAACTAGAGTGGTTTAGAAATTAGGCCTAGGCCTATTGTGTTAACTTTCAGTTGACAACCCGTAAAACTCGCGTATTCGTCTGTTCGTCATGTCCGTCTTTAATTCAACACGAACATGACGATTGGAGCTCAGTACTGAGAAGTTGAATATCTAAGACTAAGTAGAGCCTAGGGCGTCTTTGCTGTCTTTTGTCTGCAGTGGTCTAGTGCTTTTGTGTGTTTCGTGCATTAAAAGGGCTCAAAATACAAGCTCAGCATCCTAGTGGGTTCCCTACGGTTTTTGTCTAAAAAGTGCACGTACCTCTTTGAATTGATTAATATATGAAAATTGTTTGCCATTGTGGAAAAATAAATGAAGGGTGAACTCACTCATCAACCCAACTCTGCATTTTTGCTTTCTAGGAAAATAACCAGCCTACTGTGCCGGAGTTCTCTAGAGTCTAGAGAGCAGTTTTAGAACCATGGTCAGTGTGTGTGGTCAAGCCTCACTATGATAGTTGCTTTGGAAGCTTTTTCATTTGGTGTGTGAAAACGAAATTGGCGAACAAAACAAAATGTAGAAACTTTTGGTTTTGAAACAAAAAATGACTGTTCAACCATCCAATCATCTTGGTCCAACCTTCTATTAAGGCCCAACCTTAATTACAAAAAATATAAAATCAACCAAAAAATCAACTTGGGGCCAAGATGTCAATGTTTTTCTCAAAATTTCTGCAACAAGTTTTGGGACATCCACGTGATCCCCTTATGGGTCTCCTGCAGGCAAAGAAGCAGTTACATGTACGTACATTATGACCCAGTGCTTGCCAATTCTGAGTTGTGTCAAGCGTGATATTTTTCCGGACAGTATCTCATCACAGACATGATAAATACAATGGCGTAAAAAATGAAACCAAAAGTCTCACCTAAGGACTTAGAAAACAATGTTAAACAAGTTTTTTTTAAATTTTAATTGGTGTTAAAATCTTTTTGTTTGCAGGTGTGTGATATTGTTCTATTCCTTGGTGGGGGTGGGAATATGCCCTTTAGTATTTACCTTCCACCATGGAGAATTTCACTCCTACATCCTCCCACCCCTTCTGTGACGACAGTACGGTACAGCTTAATGTCACCTGAGAATTCCACTGCAAATTATCTAAACAAGGAGCATAGTCTGCCGAAAGCATTTGTAATCCAGGTCTGCAGATGATAATCATTGTCAAGCATTGTATCTGTCCTTGAAATTATTTGTTCTGGACTGTATTATGTAACTTTAAGTAATATTGATTCAGTTCTTTTCCCCAGATATGACAGAAAGGTTTGTGAAATACTTAGTTCTCGATCAACCACTTCTATATTCAGTTGTAAGTTTGTGTTGAACAAGAAAAATTTGAAAACGGGTTTCATCAGTCAAACCATAGAGCCTGTAAACAGAAAAATAAAGCAGCCTGATTTCTCCATTATAAAAGCATGCTTTTTGCTGTTTGTGCTTGTGCTGCTTGGCTAATGGAATGAGTTTTTATGTGCTTATGCTTTCTTTCCAGGTGTGCTTTTGAGAGGTTTAGGCAACACCAGTATGGCAGTCCAGATGGAGGATATTGCATGGGGGGCATTTTATGCCATGGCCCTCTTTGTTGCTTTCATTTTGTGGAAGAGATATGCGGAGGGCGGAGTTTGTTATTCCAGCAATCGCATGGAGGGGAGGACAGTTATCGTCACGGGAGCTAACACGGGGATGGGTAAGGAGATCGCAGCTGATATGGCTAACCGGGGTGCCCATGTCATCATGGCTTGCCGCAGCTTGGAGAAGGGTAACCAGGCGGCCAAGGATATCCGCCGGCGTGTCCGAGACGGTACGCTGGTTGTCCGACAGCTGGACCTGGCCTCTTTGAAGTCGGTCCGGATGTTCTGCAAGGCCTTTTTGGCCACAGAGCCTCGCCTGGATGTGCTGATCAACAATGCCGGGGTCTTTTTTTGCCCATACATGCAGACGGAAGACGGGTTCGAGAACCACTTCGGTGTCAATCACCTGGGCCACTTCCTCTTGACTAATCAGCTACTGCCACTCTTGGCTAAGTCTCCTGGAAGCCGTGTGGTCAATGTCTCCTCCTTCACCTATAATTTCACCAGCCTAGACTTTGACAACCTCAACTCTGAGCATTCCTACGGCCGGCTGCAGGCCTACATGCGCAGCAAGCTGGCCAACGTCTTGTTCAGCAAGGAACTGGCCCGGCGAACCAAGGATTCCGGAGTTAGTGTTTACTGCGTCAACCCGGGCGGTGTCCACACGGACATCACCAGGTACCTCTTACCACAGTGGTGTATGCCGATATGTGACCCCCTGATGTGGTTAGTTATCAAGAGTCCCCGTGCTGGTGCCCAGACAGCTATTCATTGTGCCGTCTCAGACGAGGTTAAAGGTCTTAGCGGTTGCTACTTCAGCGACTGCAAGGAAAAAGCCGTTAGCACAAAGGGTATGGATGAGGGCAAAGCGAAGAAGTTGTGGGAAGTAAGTGAAAAAATGACAGGGTTGTAAAAGCATTGGCAGTTGGAACAGTATCATTACTGCCGTTTAGGACAAGAGTATCAAAACATGTTAAATAGTTTGCAGGTGTTACACTCTGCAATGTGGCATAAAGTCTTTGTAATTTGTATGGTGTAATTTCTCCGTAACAAGTGGAAACCTTCAAGTTTTCTTGAGCTGGGGATCATGACCAAAACCAAAATGATTGAAATCACCGGAAATTGCTGAATTTTCACTGTCTTCAAATTGCAATTATTAATGAAACTTTCCCAGGACACAGCTTCTTTGTGTTAGATTTGTATATATAGTGCAATCAAAGGTGTTTTGTATTCATTTTGATTTTGGTGAGTCCATTCGGTCTAAACTTTAACCCTAACCCTCCTCAATCCTCCAACAGGTGAAGGATTGAGGAGGGTTAGGATTAAAGAATAAGGTCTCACAGGAGTAGATTGTATTTTAATGAAACATAATCTGAATCAAGTGTTTATTTTTGGCAGTTTTCTGAATCCATAATTTTGACCTGTCATCACAAAATGAGCTGAAAGTCGGTTTTTCCAAAATTGATATTGGTCTTTTTCAATTAAAATAAAAAGAGCTTTCAATAAAACACTAAGTACATGTGTAAAATTAACATGACAATGTGACACTTGGGCAGCTTTGTGTCTTTTGTGTCCAACACTATTCAAACAGAATAATGCTGTTGTCAAAATTGGTAAGAGAATGACAGTTTTAAATATCTAACCCTACTAAAATTTGGAAATAAATATACAACACGGGTTATATTCTTTCTAACTATTACAAAACCCGAAAGTGACCTCCCTTTCAATTTTTTTGACTTCGAACCATCATAATAGGAAACAGTGTAGTGTGATTTTATGTTCATTATGTTGTGACAGGTCACAATTTTAACATCTAGATGTAACTGTGGTTTGGAGATGTAAGGTTGTTTTAAGGATAGAGAAACTACATGTACATACAGTGAAGTTTCCAAAGCACTGAAGTAGGCATTCATTTGGGATTTTGGTACCGTATGTTTCAGTGAATTTACTTTAAATGCCAGATTGGCTAAAAGCATTCAATACATTGAACTTCTAAGACAGAGTGGGGATTCTTGTTTGTTTAAGGTCTCAGTTCAATTTCTTCCAGTTGTAGCTTGTTACTTTACATTTTAAACTAGTCTTTATATTTATTCCACGGGGTAAAATGGTTAATATTCATGAAAAGTCACCAATTTTTGTTCGGTGAAGGCCATTGTATTCCACATGAAGGATTTCTGTGAGCCTTTGATTAGTCTAGCAAGCTACACCCGTGTGATCAACCTCAAGCTTCAGTTTAAATCACTTGATCCAAAAAGCTTTTCTGAAAAATGGAAAACAATAGTTTGCTTTCAGAGAGGGCCATTCAAATCAAAATGGTCTCCCAGAACTACAGTACATGTCCATCAAGTTGATTGATTAACTTAGTTTCTGTTTGATGGATGTGCTCATTTTGCCATGTATACATGTAGTATTATTGTGATGACGTTCTCACAAGTCGTGATATCAGTCACAACTTATTGAAAAAAAAATGCTATGATAAAGGCGCACCTGTTACTTCACCACTTGGAATTAAAGGATATGCCAACACTTACTGGTTATCTGCATGTACGTATATGCAAGTATTATGGAATTCACTACTTTGGGGCTGAGCTACCATCCTTTATACGGGGATTTCTTTTAACTATACCCCTAACAGTACCGGGCGTTGTTTGGCTTAGAGTACTCAGTACTACAGAATACTACGTAACACTCTGAGCCTGAAGGACCTAGCGCTACAAATTACTATTTCTGGCTAGGTTTATTCCATTGTTACTCTTACAGAGAACAATAAAACCATGCATTCATAGTGCCACAGCACTGTATGGTACATTGTCTTCTCTATAGTATTTTATGGCTTCAGAGAATAATAAGGTCATGTCCTCTTACAAGCGACAGGGCTGAGTACTACGTTTTAGTACTAAGTAGTACTTTGTAGTATTTGGGACTGTTAGGGATACAGTACTTTTTGGTGTGTGGAACTCACAATGTATGTGTTGTGTTGTACAGCATGGTACAGTGGGTTTGGAGAATTTCTTTTTTTTTTAAAGAAAAGACGTTCCTTATGGATAAAAATTAATCAACAAAGACTGCAAGTCTGTGGACAGATCTTAAGTCTGAGTGAAATCATAAAAGTTCATAGTAGGCATACATTTGAAAATTTGCCCTTTGGTGTCATGCAAAAGTATTCATATGTTTATAAACTATACATATGTACATGTGTACATATTTTGGACTCCTCAATTTAGTGCAAAGGAACACTGTTGGCCAAAGTTTGCATTGGACCAAAATATCCAATTTGGTAAAGAAGCAATATTGCCAAGGAACTTTTTGATGATCACAGATTTTTGTCGAATTTTGGTTTGTGTGGCATGACTTGGCTAATGATGAATGTTTCAGGACACTTGCAATCATTTGTATTTTGGACAAATATCATTGCCCCACTGTTGTAAAAGTACATATGCAATATATACGCAATATTTTTTTCATTAGGTTATATTCTGATTTTTGAGTATTTTTCTCACAAGTACTTTTCTATGGGGTGACTGTCCTCATTGGAAAACATTTAATATTCAGTTGGACAAAGAAAAATTGAAGCAATACCTAGAATGAGCAATATCTAGCACATAATCTTAACTGTGCACCAACCAAGCAATGCACTTGTGGGCCATTTTTAGGCTTTGAGCAAATCAATGCATAACATACCAGTATTGTACATGTAAGTATATATAGCAAGTTACCATTAATTGTGGAGTAGTATTCAGTCAAGAATTTGAATTTCTGATTGCGTACATTTTTCCATTTTGGGGGTATTCAGTAACCAAAAAAGCCTTCCAATTGTGATAGCTTTGAATGCCTTTCTGGTTATTTTAAATTCTGCAAGTATCACAGCCTGTTAAGACCAGCTCTCAGGAGAATGGACACGACGACCACTATCAGCATTCAATCTCCTGAGCCGGTCTTAAACGCACATTTAAGACTGGACAAGCACATACATGTACGTGTATTTATTCCCATTCATAAATACCTGTTTGGTCAGAGTCAGAAGAAGTGAATTTTGTTGAATTTTACTTTCATTTTACCGAACACTCCATCCATTTTATTTTTATAGTCGTCCAAATGAATCTCCTTATATGGACGTGGTGCGTGCAAGGAGAGCCTTGTGCACACAGACTCTTGACCAATCAGAATCAGTTGAAATGTCTTGTATCCAGGTACTAGTGTCTGATATGTCAGATGTTGATACACTATCAAGTTGCATGTTATTGAATTGGGAGGCCGAGGTATTTATGAATATAATTTATCAAACTGTTGAGATTAAAACCTAACATTTCCACATTTTGTCTTCAAGTTTTCGATCAACTACTTCCAAATTAATTCAGTATTTAGAACGAGTTCCATATACGGACAACACAAATTTGATCCTTCAAATTTTATAACAACCATCAGAAAGTTATAACGTCATAAAAAGTGAAATTTAGCCAAGAAAGTTCCGAAGCATTTAACTAGAAAACACGTAGATTTGTGCACAGGGGCATCAAGTGTCCATATGCAGAGCTCCTTCCCAGTCTTTTCATTCAAGCAACTCCAACATACATTGCAAGCACAGACCGACATCGTGCTACTCAACATTACTCGTTAATGGTCCAATTTATTTCACCCTACACAGGGCCATGTAAATTCAGTAGGTTTCATAGATGTGTCCTAAAAAATAAGTTAATGTTGACATATCTACACCATCAATACCCTCCTACACAGTCTGCTAACCCGCATACCAGTGGTAAGCATCAAGAATATCAGAAACAAAAGACGTGCATATATACACCCAAATTCACAATACATGTACAATGTTGTTAGCCAGAAATAAAATGTATTAATGTACAAATATCTGTAGTTGTTGTATTTGCTGTCTGCTTGTTACACCTTGCTGTGAAAACTTCAGTAAAGCTTGCTGAACTGAACATGAAACTACGAAAATAAAAACCAGACAGAGGAATGAATAAATACATTTAGATATACTTTTGTCAAATTTGAAAACTAGACAATTGTTATCTTCAGTGAACAGGAAAGCCAAACACCTACATCAAGGTGTTCTGAAATATGTCAATAAAAACAGCTGTGAAAAAGGTTTTACACAAAGGTCAAAGGTTACATCTTAAGGACAACGTGGGGGAAAAGGCACAGAGTAAATGCATGAAAGTTTATTGACGAGTGTATAAGTTGTACTGAAACTATGCCAGTTTTAGAAATCCGAGAACCATACAGTTGACTTAGGACTAAATACAAATTAAAGTTAACTAGGTCAAATTTAGTAAATTTTGAAAAGCAAGAGTAGAATACAAGTACATGCTATTTTTAGAAAAGAAAAATCCAAAAACTGAAGATATACATCCATTGTCAAAATTACACCTAATTTAGCGTCAAGTCTATAATTTTCTGACTTAAATTTGATCAGTTTCACAGCTTTCCAATTATCAGCTATATTCAATATTAATGGGAAATGTGACATCAAATGTGTTAGTCCTTCCTCTTTTTTCTAATGTATTTCTAAATCCATCTCATTGAAAGATTTGTTAGACAGTCAAATAAGGTTAAAACTGCTACAAAAATTATGGGAGAGGTGTCCAATGTTTACAAGGCAAAGGAGTGCTTACTGATAGTGATGTAGAAATCTGATAACAGAAAGTGCACAAACTTTTAGAGGCAAATGCAAGCTAACAAAAGTTTTAAAATAAACTGTTCTATCTTGTCTGTACCGATCTCCATTTGTATTTATTTTGTAACCATATACCTTCCTAGAAAAAGAAAAAGAATTACACTGTACATATGCAAAAATACCTGTACAAATCTTTGAAATGTTAAATCTTCCGATTCAAAGATTCTAGAGTACCCTGTAAGCTTGGGGTCTTGGTTTCTGCCTTGTACTCATGAAGGATCCTCACAAGTATCGGACAAAATACAGTCCAATTTACACACAACAGTAAAGAGGGTCACATCATCGGTGATTGCCTTATGGTTTGACATTTTTGCCATGCCTTGAACACTCCACAACCTGTCCTGCATGTGTATCAGTATGGAGGTTAAAACTGGAATGAGACCAGACAGCGATTTCTGTTTTGAAATAACAAAACAATGCCCATTTTAATGTCAAAACTGACAGGAAAACTTTGTTCCATCCATTGTGACTGCAAAAGGAAAAAACAAGTTTGTAAGTACATAGAGGGCCCTGCTGTTTCATTCCAACTACAGCTTGCATGCCTACATGTATTCACGAGTATAAAATGTTCACTGGTTGAAACATATGCATAAATTTACAACCACAGGACACACACTGCTAATGTGACTGGCCCCAGTACTGTGTTTCATATCATGTATAATCCAACACAATAGTCAACTTATTCACATCAAGCCGGATGCGCTCCCAGCACTGTAGTGTCAGTCAAAAAAAGAAGTTTCGAAGCAAGTGAATTTCCAAGTGCCTTATGGGGGACTGGAATTAAGGTATGAGGATATCTATAATCCACAAATACATGCAAGTATGCAATTGAAAAACAGTACTTTTCATCTTATAAATTATATTTTTAGTGAACAATAAATGGTGAATTTATCCCCAAAAAGTACTTTTAATTTGTAACTTGTTATTACATAATGGGTTTTGTTATTAAGAACATAAGCAAAGTTAGTATCATTCTTACATTAAACATGGAAGCAGGAATGGGTTATCTTTCCCTTGTGTATTTGCAAGGAAATTAAATTGTTGCTTTTTGAGCCTGGAATGACCAAGTTTTCAAATAAAACCAATACAGTTAAATTGGGTGAGAAATTGTATACATAGTATTTCCTCGTCAAAACGTGCCCTGCAAAGAACATCCTCTCCTTCCTCCTGAGAAGAGTTCAAATTTATGACTCATTTCAATGAACCAGGAACAAAGTTCCTACTTAAACATCGGCTCTTCTTTTTGGCGAAAGTGATTTGGTTTTGAATAAAACAAACATCCAACTCTGAATGTTGTATTCCTGTGAGGGAGGCTTTTGACCCAACTGTTGAAGTCTACTGATGTATGAAATGCCCGGGTATGGACTTGCTCAACAAACTTTTGGATATTTTCTTTAAAATTCCCGAACCTCTTGAGAAATCGTAAAGTAACCCGCAAAGTATACCCGTGTGTGGACAGTTCGAATTCCACCCCTAGAACAATGGCTACTTTGTCCCACTTCACAGAGCACAGTTCCTGTTTCATCCAAAAGACGGTCCCTCTCTGACTACTTGTTGGACAGAATGTGCCATCGGCACACCTGGTGGCCCTTGGATTCTCGCATCTCCTTCCAGTGGCTGGTCTCCTCGTCGCTGGTGTTGCTGAGCCCCATGGAGAACCAGCCAATCGTCTCCTTGCGCTTCATGCCACGCTTGTTGAAGACGGTGAACATGAGCGTCACGTCGGCCAGCTGGAACTGAGCCACCTGTGGGTTGGGTCAAACAACGTCAACAATGACGAGCAGTGATAGAAAACAACGATGATAGGCTATTATTCACTCTTTGCACGCTGCCACCACAGGCACGCAGAGCCTTGAACTGGCAGCTTGTACAACTGCGTCAGAATCGCCTTGTCCAATTGCATGATATAGGAATGAACACAGCGCGAGCAGTTACATAATCAACATGCACAGGAATCCCTGAACTGGCCATATCTATTGTGTAAAGCTGCCAGATGGAGGCTCTGCATGCCTATGGCAGCAGCATGCAAAGAGCAAACACCAGCCAGTAAAGTGTAAGCTGTTGCACTGCATTACTGGATAACTTGCACAAAGGTATGAACAAATACAACGCCATCGCACCCTACATTATGGGGGCTTCTTTCGTGCGGAGGTTGTGGATGCCATGCTTTGCACACATACTGTGTGACCACAGTAGAATCTCTTCAGTTAACCTCATGGTCTTTATTTTGCTAGTTTGTCTACACTTACTGCATGATACACTGATTGCATGTGATTTGGGTGTGTTTACCTGAAAAATGAAGGTTTCTTTGAAGGTTGGGTTGGGTTGTCCACGTCGGACTGACGTCTTGCTTTTGGTCATCTCAAAGCCACTGGAAGACATCAGTGTGATGCGGACATATGAATCTGTTGAGAGAAAAGAAAAAAAAAAGAGTCTAGATAAAACTCTGACATCATCTAGAATAAAACTCAAACCCTTCAGCATTGTGATGATGTCATCTGATGATGTCCTCGAGTTTCAAGACTCGGAGCTGTTTTAACTTTGTACACAAACTTCTGGAAAGTGTTTCACTCAATGAGGCTTATTTACGGTTTTTTGATTACTGAATACGTGACAGGAAGTAAATTGGCAACAAACAAAATGCTGCAGATTGTGGAGATCTCAGGTTGATAATCTGAACAGAATATCCCAATACCTTATTACATCAGACCCCGCAAAAGTATGGACAAAATGAAAAACAAGCGATAACAAAAGGAAGTCACAAGAGTGTTCCATTTTTCTTTTGAACTTCGCAGACACGGATGACAGTCATTCCTGGAACCCTACAAACTTATCAACACTTACATTTAAACTTTTAACTATTTCAAAAGATATCAAATCTTTGCTGTGTGACTAGGGTACCAGTATGTCAGGAAACACCCATACTGGGTTGACTCCCTAAAGTAGAAGGGAAAAAACCCCGAGTCATCAATGTGCCCATTCATGAAAGTCTGGCAAATTACTTTTACAATCAACATTAAATGATTTTTAGGAAATTTCATTTCTGAACAAGTAACACGAAACTAACAAGAGATTACAGATGCATTAATGTCAAAAAGTGTTGAAGTGTTTCCGCTTTTATCAGCACTGTCAAAAAATCAACATCTAAAAAAAAATGTTTTTCTTCCTACATCTTAAAATCTCAAAAAGCACTGGGCAACATACACTGTATACTCAGTAGTGAACGTTCCCGATTTTGATTTTCAATATGCCACATTGCCTTGCGCTTTCAATGATGCCAGCGGGAGGGTAACTCGGTCAGACAGCCACACCCCAGCACCATAAAAAAACACCAGACAAGCCGATCCTGACCTTAGACACCACCAAGGCAAATATGTAGCTTGGCCTAATACAACAATGTGACAGTGAAGTTGCAACTTCTCTGCACTTTTTAGGAGTGGCTTACAATGCAATCGACCTGACCTTCAGCTACTGGAGTGAAATTTTCTGGCCAAGGTGATACTCTACGTCAAATACGTCAAAAATAGTACCATCTGCCAAGTCTTTGTGCACGAGAAGTGCCATTTGACCCACACACTTTGTAATCTTTACATTTGACACAGCAACAATTGCTTTAGTCATACATTATCACATTCAAGTTGGTGGTCACCACTGTCCACATGTTTACAAGGTCTGGCTATATTTCTGAGTAACCGCCAAGGAAAAGTGGTATTTAACAATGCATAAACAAAACAAGAGACTACAAAAATGGGCAATTACATTTTATCATCTTTAGCTCCTATCAACAGGGTTCCTGCACCTAAAGGAGAAATACATTTCCCTGACTTTTCCATGACCAAATTATGAAAATCCATGACCCAATAATGCAATTTCTTGGACTATTCGGACTTTTAAAGTTGTAAATAAGATCACACATTTTATGCACTTATTTCTGATAATAGAAATTACACACAATGTTTGAAAAATTCAATGACTTTTCCATGACTTTAGTCATTTTTACAAAATTTCATGACTTTCCCAGGCCTGGAAAATGAAAACAAATTTCCATGACTTTTTCATGACTTTTCCAGGCTGCGGGAACCCTGTATCAAACCACTGCTTGCTGGGTCATGGAGTAAACTGTTCTTGCATGCATAATCAATTGGGTACAGTTATAATGCCGTGGTAAACTGGCTTTGCCAGTCGGAACAAAGCCCAGAGCCCTGGTCATGGCTGTCATTATATTAGCACTCCATCCACTCTGAGCCAGAATACAGGACATGCTTTTCCATAGGTTGATGTACATCTGCCACAGCAGGCACTGGGTATGAATGATCAATGGTTCTGTTTGAATGTACAGTCTTTGAAGGAGTTCCCTCCAGTCCGTCTCTGCCTTACCAGTGAGGGCGCACTTCCACTCTGGGGTGGATACTGCCCTCAACAGGCTTCGTGCAGAGCCACTGGCTTTTGCCAACAAGCCCAACTCACCTGGTGCCCGGCCTGCTGCCTGCTGCTTGAAGTGGCTCCCTTTGATCAGTTCCACAGCCAACCGACCAGTGGTGGCGTTGTATGTCAGTCCCACCAACAGCTCAGGCAAGCCGCCGTGGGAGAGAGACTGCAGGGAGGTGTTGCTGTCTCCACTGGCTGATAAGTCTGAGGAGCTGGAGTAGGGAGACGCGTTGCCCCCAGTCACCTGTGACTTCAAAATAGAAAGCAAAATGAGTCAATACATAGTGAAACTTTTACACTCATGCATATTAACCCTAACATCCCACTTGTCCCCTGGGATGTCTCTGTTACCATAAACCCAACAGCACTGGGCAGTGACTGCCACGAGTTTCCTGCTCGATCCAACACAATCCAACCGTGCCTTTATTTCCAATGCCCAATCAATTAAATACCACTCAGCTAAGTTCACTGTTAATTGAGAATTTAAGCAGATTTCAACAGGAAAAAGTCCAAGGATTTTACTGCCCAATCCAACAGGATTCAGCAGCAGAGGCAAATAGTTGGATCCTCTTGGATCCAATATGGTTAGGCTTAACGGGCTTGATATCACACGTACACACTGTGATTTTAATCCTCACTCCCCAGAGTGATTTACTAGGAACCATCCCCATTCACACAAATTCCAACACCCTATGGTAAACTGTGCACAAAAACTGTTGGACTCTGTTTATTTTGGGTATGCCTGAACCCATGTTAAAGCACAAGCAGTTTAGGGGTACAGTACCCAGTGCTACAAATTCACACACTTTACTGGTGGTCAATTCTGTGTGGTTAGGGAAGGTTAGGGTTAAGATTTCTGCAGGTTAAATCCTACTTGAATGACCCCTGAGCACACTTGAACATTACAAGTAGTATAAATCATTCATTCCGGCATTAATTCCATACTGAACCCTTGAAAACACTTCTCCATTTCCAAGTAAAGGGCATTTTACAGACCAAGGTCTATTTAAAAAGGCCTTCCATTCTTTGAGCATGGGACTGAGTAAACATGGTCTATCCTTTCTTGACAGGGAATTGGTTTCTCAGCTTTGCAGAGGGTCCATGAGTCAGACAAATATTTATTTTGTGTCTCGATAGGCCGAACTGATTTCATCTTTGCAAATGGGCACTTTCCAGCTCAAGAAACTAATGCCAGAGGGCAAACACTTTAATGAAAGGCAAATTTAAAGGCCAAACTTCAACATTTTATGCATAATCAATGATCAATTTCATATCAGAAATCGTATCGGATGTTTTTCAGAGTATTGGAATATCAGGAAATTCGATATGCATTAAAACATCACCATCACAATAGTATAGGTTTTTGTGATATTTTATCTTGATATTTCTGTTAAAAAAATGGATATCAAATATGCCTAAGCTAAATTGGGACAGATATGAAGCCTAAAGGTGCTTTCCATATGCACGTCAACACTTGCGCCACATCTTGCGTATCTGTCAAAATTGCCGCGGAAGCAATTTTGTTGGCCGAACGCAACACACACATGTGTTATGTTAATGGAGTACATTTTTGTGCTCTTGAAAGTGAAACACAAGAACGAATGGTGTACACAACACACACAAAAAACGTACATATGAAAAGGCGTCTTAAGTCACCTCCCCCCCCCGAAAAACTGCAGAGAGAGGAAATTGGACCAGTGACCTGCAAATCGCTGATTGTCTTCTGATCGAACTTTTCCACACTAGATCACTCTAACTCTACTTTTAACTTACAGCTTCACTTCGAGACACCAGCTTGACCAGGATGGTCTGTGGAGCAGACGTGTTCATAGAGGAGAACTTGACCAAACCTTCCCCGACCAACCGCTCCTTCCGCATGCGCTCGGCGGCATACAGCCGGAACCGGATGGCTGTGTTGACCAGCTCGTGGGGCCGGATGCGGGTGAAGCGAAACAGCTCCTTGAAGACAGGCTCCTCCGTCTCCCGGATGCGCGTCTTGGTGCGCTGCTTCTTGGGGTAGAGGAGGATGCGCAGTCGCCAGGCCGAGGCGCCACCTTGGTCCTTGCTGGGAAGGTTCAGGCCCCGCATGACGGTCACGTTCATGCGGCTACTCTCCCCACTGTAATCAAAGATGACCTCCAGCTGGCCTATAGTCGGTGCTGTTTCCTGGTTGGTAAGTACATCCTACAAAAATCAAACAGGTACGGATTAATAGTTTTTCTGATGATATCTAAAGTGCACTGAATATCGTGATCTATACCTTTTATCAGGCCATCTCATAGTAGGGGAAATTAAAACTATGTACATGTATGCAAGGACATTCAGAACACCTGTTAAGTTTCAATTCAATCTAACACCCAGTTTTGATGTTAAGGTTATTTGTAGTTCGTGGTATGATATGCATCAGCCCTCATGCAAAAATGTTATGTTTTGACTGATCAGTGTCAAAAAATGATCGTTTCTTGATAAAAATGATTTGCCTGTGTTCACAAAACTGGTTTCAATATTATCACAAGATAATACTAGCCAAACTCCTGAGGGCTTGGCATGGAAACAAAGTGCGCTGTGATGAAATGTAAATGTCGAGGAGGGATAATGTCCCCCCTTACTTTTGTTGGCTTCAGAGAGAATAAGAAAAAAGGTTTCCGTAAACGCTGGTCAATAATTCTCGAGTGCAAAACATCGGGTAAATATCATGCTCTCTTAAACCTTTCAGACTTTAACACCAGCATGATAAATTGGACTTCAATCAAGCAACTGTTTGCTTTTGTACATACTTGTCCCTGTCAGGCACAAAAGCCTTATCAGACGAGTGGCACACTATGGCTTAAAATTACCACTAGATTACAATCGCATTTTAATCGCACCTGCAATGTAAAACGCATTCCACTAGTACCTCCTCGATTACACAAGCACTCAAAATGAAACAAAAATGTTTCAAATTTGTTGACACATTAATGAATACTGGTACATGTAATGAAATATTTGAAGAGGTCTGCAGCCAATTGGTCAACCTTTCCATGTACAGCAAGAAAATATTTACATTATAAAAAGTAACCAGTCCTTTGACTTTTTGATACAACTTTGACTGAGAAAAAGTAATGCAGACAAATAGAACTTTGCACAAGAGCGAGCAACTGGACGAGATGGGAGAAAAGTGATTTTCTTCCCAATTTATTTCTGTCTTTTGCAGTGTTCACTTTTTACTTTTTCACTGATTTCTGCCATGGGTGCTTTTCTCATTTTATGTCTAGTTTAGAAGGTCAAGGATATTTTCTTTTCAGTAGCTCTTCCCGGGCTGAATGCTCTGCCCGGCCGATCCCCATCCCATGCAACAGATCAGGTCGTTTGTATTGAGTGTAAAAGTGCAAAACCGACAAGTGACAAAGAGAACTGTCCAGCCAAAGCCACAGCATTGAAGTTGCACCACACAGAGATACCCTGCACAATGCATACATGTAGATAAGTTATGCATGGCTTCTTCACCTGGTGAGCATTTCTTGATGCACAGCGTTGCTTCTCTGCTCGTTTTGTAATGCGAGTCACATGATAGACCCCGCATATTACGGATACCTGTTACCGGGGTGGTAGGCCCTATGTCATTGTTCTTTATCCTATACATTTCACACCTGGCACATAGCCAGGGTTTTGTTTGGCCAATGCAAAATGTTTTGTTTACCCATTAATTAAGTTATAAATTGCAATAATAAGGCTACAAAGATGGCATTAAGGCAGAAGTCTATTAGAGAATACTACCAACTCTGTATAACGAGCTTGAATCATCTATTAATACCAATTCAATTTGATGCATTTACAAATGCTCTACTTTCACGCTCTAGAATTTGGATTTATAATACATTTTGCTGTCCTAGATTCACAGCTTTCAAAATCCCGAAGTTGTTCTTAAACTCACCAGGCCGTCACATTCTACAATGCTATACCCCATTGGCAACACAGCTAATTTACATTAATTTTGCTAACCATGTTCTTAAGCATTGTGACACCATCCACTGTCATTTTCTGATCATCACATTCAATATTCGTCACAACCAAAACTGA